TTTGATGAATTTTTAATGAATAGTTTTGACTGACAATTTTTGTAGTTGCCGATTTATTTATGTCATTTTTTTTTGCTAAATTGTTTATTTTTTGCTGAATGTTACACAAGTGATAGTATTTTTTGCCAAATGTTACATGAGTGGCAGTATGCCGAATAATTTTTTTTCAACTAGTGTATATCAGATAGATTCTCAATTTCTACTTCTCAGAAAAATCTAAATCAGAGAAAACAAGAAGCTTTCAGGAATACTTATTGATAAAGCTTGTGTGTAAAGCAATTCAGGAAGTTTTCGTTCTATCTTCAAAAAATCCTAAGTTGGAAGACTAGAAGGCTAACGTCACTTTATCAATTAAAACTCGAGTCTGAAAATGTCAGTAGTGACGTACAAACCGACCAGATAATCTGAAAGATTCTTATTGATTATTAATACTAATGGCCACTAGCAGAGTATGTTTATTGTAAGGCTAAGTTCTATCTTTTTTATAAGGAATTAAATATGAAATAAGAGGCATAGATGGGTAAGTACATCCATATTTAAATAGAAATGGGTTTAATTGATAATATACTGGAAGACTTTCAAGTTACTCATGTGGACACCAATATATTACCTGAGCCTTTCTGGTTGCTCCTTTTTCACAAGCTTTAAAACTATAAAGTCTTTCTAATAGTTTTCAACTTATCTCCGTAAAAGACTCAGTAGAAGTTTCTCTTTCCAAAACTTTCTACAAAAGAATTTAAAACAAAACAGATATGGCCAAGAAACAAAACTGACACTCACTTCAAATAGTACATAACTGTTCAATTTTATTTTTATTTTTTTATTTTTTATTTTTATTTTTAGATATCAGCACACTCTAGGAATGTTGGTTTTTTTTTTATAAAAAAAAGAACAATAAGCCTCGATGTAGTTTTAAAAATAGTTTTAGCTTATCATTATCTTTATAATTACTAAATATACACTCTTGTACTCATATTTAGTACAATATATATATAGTATGTAATTTTGAAAACAATAAAGTAAGGATAAGCTCGTCATTAAAAAAAATGTATATATATAATATATATGAATTTTATAATTTTTGATTATATAATTAAGGATTTAAAAATGATCAAAATTGAAATTTATAACAAAAATATAATAAATGATCTCAAACTTTTGAAAACAACTATATAATTATTAATTTTATTTTTATTATTCTAATATAATTATTAATTTTAACTTTGCAATATTGACCTGTAGATAATGAAGTAGGTAGTTAAAAAGGTCTTTATTTGAACTACCAAAGAAATGATAAATCATATCTAAAGTTGTACTTAAAGTTTTAGAAAAATATAAAATAAAAACAAATAAACCAGGTAGAGATTTAGCTTCAATAAAATATTTTATAATATATAGCATACAAATATTTAATAAATCACACATACCTAGCCTAACAAAAGGTTTAAAAAAATTATTATTATTATTATTAATTTTAACTAATTTAATTTTTATATTGCATTATTTTAAATAAACCCTTTATAATTAGATTTTTACTATATATACATATTTATGTTACTTTGATATGGTGATAATTGTTATTGATCTATGTTGAACTGTTTGTATCTTACGAAGCCTTGATGTTTTTCTGAACTTTAAAAGTTTGGAATTATTTAAAATCTTTGATTAATAATAAAAATTAAACAGATTCTTTATTTTAAAAAGTCAAAAAATGTGGGTTTTTTTTTGTTATTTGAATCACATTTCTTAACTTTTATAATGCCGATGTATGAACTGCCGACCCTCTCTGACACAATTTGTAAATGCGTACGAGACGAGTACTAGGATGTTCACGCACAAAAAATTTTTTGTATACGCCACTCCATTTGACACTCCAATATCAATTAAAATATTCATGATATAGAGCAACACTGAGGCGATTAATTCGATTAATCCGATGGACACAAGTTGTCATTTGCATTCTTCAATGCAATAAAACCATACAATTCCGATCAATACATAAGTTAATTGACGCTTCTTGTTAATGAAATCATTTCATGATTATTTACTCAAATAAGACGTGCACTTATTATCACATTATGTAGTCAATGTCAAACTACCCCCTCTTTCTATATTTCTTTACTGGCAATTCTTCTTTCTGATTAGACTTAAATTTACTCAACATTTTCGAGAATGAAATACTTTCTGATGGTGTTGTTGGTGAATTGATTTCTAATTGAGGCAATTGTTTTGGTATTTTAAGATACGTACGAACTTTTTGATTTTTCAATATCAGCGTTTGCAAAACGCTAAATAAAGCCGAACCCGTAAAGTATACGAGAACGGACTTTATTGATAATAATAATAAAATAAAAATAAAATAAAGATTTAATAAAATACGATTCAACATTTACACAGTACCACAGATTTCATGATGAAATTATTTTGTACATACTGAAGGCAGGCCCATTGTAATTGGAAAAGATAATACGGTTATACCGCGAATAAGCCATCTCGTTCTTTGCATCTGAGTATTCTTAGTTTTACTGGCTTCGTTGCCAATCTAAATATAAGAAGAGATATTAGTGGTTGAAGTAATGAGCGTAAGGAAAAAATTAATATTGATTACCTCAATTATAGAAAGAAAACCTGCAGTCGTTAGAACAGGTAATATATAGTAGGGATCGGGGATGGTGAGGTCCGTGAACCATAACACTCCACCAATTTTAAAACTTTCCACAGGAAATTCGGCCATCTTCTTTGTTGCCAAAAAAAAACTAATCATTACTGGTGCTTGAATTAATGCAAGAACAATACCTCTAATCGGGCTAGCATCATTGTCTTTATATAATTGTTTCAATTGATCAGCTTTTTGAAACATCACGGCTGTATCAGCGTGCTTCTTTGCCTCATTCATTTCATCCATTATTTTTTTTGCTTTTGGTTGGATGTTCATCAATTTAATATTGGAACGCATTGCGCTAACAGAAAAGGGTACTAAAACTAAGCGTACTAATAGTGTGCCGAGAAGTATCGTTCCCCACCACGGTAGATCCGTTAAAACACGGATTGCCTCAAGTAAGGTTTCGATTCCACCAACGGGTGTGTAATGCACAAGGCCCATTGCCTTTAGATCGCCAATTTTCATAGCTGTTTCAATCGCGGTGTTAGATGTAGCAGGCTCGAGAATTTCATTAACAATCGAATCAACCTCGAGAGTTGTGGTGACAGCATCGGACGAGGCATTCCCAGTCTGCACGATTGGTTCCTTCTCGGCATTAACAGTACTTGAAATTGTATAGTATTTTATCGAATTGGCAAAGACGTAATTGGTTTTTATTTTACGATAACACAATTTGTCTTGAGGTAACCCTCGGGTATTTATGGAAAAAAGTCTCCGGCATGGTTTACGGAATCCTAATATAGATAAGCCAGAAATATTTGTCGAAAACTGCTTTAAAGTATAGACGAAAGTACCTTTGTAAAAACGCGAATATAGAAAACAGACAAGTATACCGACCTTTTGTGAATTAATTGATAGTTGTATCCGTGAAAGTCTAAGAGATGTGAGTTCTGTTAGGTAATTTCGCGAGATACAATCACGACGTTTTCATTATACACACATGCGGCCCGAAGAACGAACTTGGAAATTAAACATTGTGGCGAAGTTCTAGATAAAGAATTTTTTAGAGTAGATTACACAGACCGTTTATCAATCTGTGATTATTTTTAATCATGTGATTTAACAAATCTTTTTCCATTATGGCTCATCTTTATTGGATAATAAATGCAATACATTCATTATCAGTTAAAGGATTAAACTATTAAGGAAAAATCTACTACTGTAAACCAGTTTTAAACTAAATACTTTAAGTCCTATTTAAGAAACAATATTATTTTTTTTAAATTTATAATTATATCATTATGATATATCTTTATTAAAATATTAAAAGAATATCTAGATTTTTATATAATAATCAACTTATTTTTTTTTTTTAATTTGCAATCATGCCACTTTGATATGTTTTTATTGAGATATTGAGAGATATCAAAATATTTTATAGACTTTTTCATAAAATGATTAACTTGTCATTGTATATTATTAGTTAAAGGATTATATTACTTAAAAAATATGAAAAGTTCATTAAATTAGTTCAAATTAAACAAAACTAAGTCTAAACTAGATACTCTAGGTTAAATTTAAAGAACAATATTTTGTTCTTCTAATAGCTTGACATAGTACCTTTAAGTAGGGATCGCAACAGATCGGATTAAATCAGATTTTAGATTAATCTGATCCGAATCTGATCGGATCAGTTTTTATTTGATTCAATCCATATCCAAACGGATTTATTTTTATATGATCCATATCTGTTCGATTAATTCAATATTTTTTTAATCATGTTTTTTTTTTTTTTTTTTTTTTTTTTTTTTTAATTTATTTTTTTCTACTTAATGTTTACTTGTCATCTTTAAGTTTTATATATAACCATTTAGTTAATAATTTATATTTTTAAAATTTAAAATTTATTGCCATTCATAATTATTTTCTTCTAAATTAAAATATACACCTGTATAATTTAAATTTTCTGCAATACTGCTATTGTCTTGATTTTTTTTTATCAATTCTTCCAGTACTAGCAAAGCAGGGGGATCTTGTTACAATTGCTCTTGCCGATACTTTACATGTTTTTCTTTTTCGATACCTTCTTTCCATTTTTTAATTGCTGTTATTGTTTTTTTTGTCAGGTTTTGTAATAAACCACTAGTTACATCTTCTTTCGGCAAAACAATTGTGCCATATAGCTCTTTTTCTGGCCAACAAAAAAAAGTGTTGCCTTATATAAAAATTTAAATAAAAACTCCGTATTTTACATTTCAAACTTTTTTATCGTTTTTATAAAAATACCTGTCATTTCTACTTTTATTCCCTATTTAGTCATGTAGAAGTTGTCTCTTTCGAAATCCCCTTCTTGGCAAGTAAATTCTGGATCACTTTTGAAGCAAATTCCTCTCAGGCAGCTGGCTACAATTGCATGGTCCAGGAAATTTGTATCGGTATGGACAAATTTGCTGTACCTTCAGGATACATATGCTTCACAGAGACCCAAGGGATGGTTAAGCTTAATTTCCTTATTGTTGTAAAAAACTGAGATACCTTTTTTGACTGTTCCATACTTATTTCCATCTAACCTTGGAAGCCCATGCTCAGCAATTTTTTGCTGTATACTCGAAGTCATATTGGTAGGAAAAATACACATTGCATAGGTAAACAGAAGGCTGTTTATCACGACAACTTTTTCTTCATGCAGATACTGCTGGCTTGTTTCTCATAACTCTTTCAGTATATTGAAAACATATGTGAAAATTCCACATTCCCTTGTCGACAGGTATCTAAAACTTGTTGTCAGTATTGCTCAAATATAAAATTAAACACATATAAAATTTATATATCCAGTAGCTGCCAGTGCTCCTTGGTTAAGTTTCAATATACCATCAGATCGGATAACCCTTCTTCGTAGTTAGAACATTTCTAATACTGTACCTTGCATGATATTTAAAACCTCGGGTCCAATCTGATTATGTTATACAGCAAGCATCACCTTGTCTGAATCTTTGTTATAAATTATAATTTCTTCATTTTTTTTTATTATATTTGGCAGGCAGGAGGCAGCATCAATGGCTTGTACATATGAAGGCAATGGATTTACTTTTTCGTACACCCCCTTTTCTTTGATTTTTTTTTCATTATATCTAGGCAAGGGCTCGAGAAATATCGTTTTTACATCGTGGGCATTGGCAAAGTGTTTTTGTGTCATCAGCTTCTCCCTGACCTGAAATATAAAAGTATTAACTTTGTTTTTTATTTTTAAAACTTTTTGAACTTACAAAATTTTATGTGTTTTTATTTTATTTTTTTTCATTTCATCGATGTCTGCTTTCAAAGTAGCTGCAGTTTCTACATTATTGGCATGGCAAAATCTTAGGAACCTCACAAATTCTCTTCACCAATTTTTCTAATTTTTTATTAGCATTAATAAAATATATATAACAAGTACATATACTTCGATATATTTACATTTGAAAAAGAATCGATATTAGGATCAGACATAGCCAGTTGAACACTTGTTAATTTAGTAGAAAGATTTTGCAGGCAGGCAACATACTCCTCAGGGTTATCGTTTTTCAACAGCACAAAGAAATGCAGAACAGTAGTATAGATTTCTATATATATTTAAAAAACAGGTATTAACTATATACATACATGTACAGCTTGCCAGTGCAACAGGTAACGAAAAACCTAGCTACAAGTCAAATTGTCAACAATCCAACTTGCAACCCTCAAATGTCTGCTTAAATGTTCGAGAGTCCTGCTTTAGTCTAGGGTTTCTTACTGGAGGCAGAAGCAGCAATGTAGTAGATTTAAGCTTGCCTAGCATTTTATTGACAAAATTTAATATATTAGTCTAGGGTTTCCCACTGGAGGCAATATCGAACTTTATCGACAGCAGCTAGTTGCACTTTTACGAAGGCCAGCCTACAAGTATTAGTCCAGGATTTTTCACTGGAGGCAACTCATAAACTTGCCAGGTAAAAGGCTCATAGGTTTTTGTTCCCCCCCTTCAATTGTTTTACTCACTATTAGCTTCGATCTGTTTCTGTTTCTTTGAAACATGCATCGTATTGCCTATACCAATGTTTTAGAAATTAATATAAAAGTTCCAGCAGCAACAAATACCAGTTTTTTGTACTTACTTGGCTGTAAATATGGTAGGAACAGGGAATCGATATAAAGGTGTGGTCGATAGTTGAAGTATCAGATTATTTAGTTGATAAAAGATGCCAGATAAAGTAGTCGGCAAAGGTATCAGTTTATTTAGTTGATAAAGAAAGATTTGGGTATACAGTTGCAGTATAGTAAAAGTAGTTAATGTAACAACTGTAAAAACATTAACAAGTGATAAAAATATACCTTCGATTGTAGTTTGGTGGTGGCAGGCAGCTATATATATTTAAATAAAATCGATCATTTAGTCAATATATAAATAGATGTATACATCCTTCCGAGAACTAACAAGAAAGATAAAAACATTTGTAGGTAAAAAAAAATTCCTAGGCAAGATACCTGGTAGCAGGGATGGTAAAGTGATCAAAGTAAAAGAAGCAAAATAAAAAATCGACAAAAAAATCGAAAAAAGTTTTTTTTTTATTTATTGTCCAATTACGTTTTTCTACCATAGATCATTCTTGTATTGATTGATTTTTAACAATTGCTATCTACCCAAACAATTACAACAATTTGCATCAATTGGCCTACACCAG